TGTGTGTGTGACCTGTGAGTGTGTCTATGGTTGGTTGTGTTTTGGACTGCTCTTTGTAGAGTTGAGAGGAAAGGGTCCCCTGTGAGGGGCAGGCAGGTGTAGCCCGGGTCTGAGGGCTTCACTCCCCAAGCAGACCCCTGCAGGGCTGGGCCTGGCCTTGGAGGCCAGAGTGCTCCTTTTCTGTCTGGACACTGTCCACCTCATGGGCCCATCAGTCCCTTCCTCCCCTGCCTCAGTTTCCTGATTGTTCCAGGAGGGTGGCACATAGCTCCAAGGTGCTGATGTCACTCATTCCTTAGGGTGATATGGGAGCTCTCAGACCTCCTTTCTGAAGACAGAGACCCAGGACCCCAAACAAGGCAGAGGGGCTTCTGTTCACCACAGGCCCCAGCCCTGCTGAGGACCACCATGCCCATGACCCCCGTCCCTGGACTGCCACACTCCGATAGCTCAGCAGGGCCAGCCGCGTGTCTGTCCCCTGCCCTGGCCTGGGTTTGGCCAACTCCACCCTAGCAGCTCTGAGTGCGGCATGAGGACCTCCTTCTACACATGTTCCCCTCGGGTTAATGTCCCCTCGGCCCATGGTTCCCCCAGGTCAGTCCTTCCTCCCTGCATGGCCCTCCTGTGACCAACTGCCAGGATCCCAGGAATGGGGTGACCTGGAGGGATGAGCTGAGGAGTCCAGGATGATGGCTGCTGCGGTCTCCAGGTTGCCCCAAGACGCCTGCAGCAGAGACACCCTGAGCATGGCCCGAGTCTCCACAATGCTCCAGGGCTTCTGTGTCTGCCATTCTGTGTGGACTTGGGGACCTTAAGGAAAAGCCACCAGGGCTGTGTGGGCACTGGGTCACTCCGTCCCACCAGGCCCCTCGTCCCGGTTCCTCTTTGGCCATTTGATGGGGAGCTCCTGGGGATTCACATGCCCAGCAGGATTCCCAAGTCACTCCTCATCCACGCCACTGTCCCACACCAGCCAGGGCTGGGCTGGACATAGGCAGGGCCCACGTACCCGGCTGGAGCCAGCGCACTTGGCCCTGGCCGTCAGCACTGGGCTGCCCAGAGCTGGGAAGGAGGAAGCAACAGGCTGAGGTCCACAACCCAGCCTCAGGGATGGATGTTGCTCCTGACCTGAACGGGGGGCTCCTGTGTGGACGGCACCTTTGCCTGTTGTGAGAGCCCAAGCGAGATAGCCCAGTGTTGGCAGGGGAATGGGGGTCGCCAGTGGTGGGCGAGGGGCCCACTGCAGCCACTGAAAATGACTGTGCCCACAAAGCGACACACCCCACAGGACTCCACTCTCTGAGGACCCCAGGGAAGTTGGGTCTGTAGTGCCATGCAGGGAGTAGGATCTTCTGGGGCCGGCAGGACTGGGGCCAGGACGTCATGGGCACAGAGGGAGAGGGGAAGAAGCCCTGAGACAGTGGGGGGGGGGGAACATCATGGCATGAAAGTGCTTACTGCCACTGCACCCTGCAGTAGAGATGGTGACAGTGACACATGTCACTATCTGCCTAGTTCACCAAGATTACAAACCAATGAAACACACAGTTCTGCTTTCAGCAAGTGTTTCTGTAATGAACGCCAGAGACTGGGTAACTTACACAGAGCAGAATGCATTTCTCCCCCTTCCGAGGGCAAAGTCCAAGATCCTCCACCAGGGAGTGGCCCTTGAGGCTGGCCCCCTCCAGGTTTCTGTGAGGGCCACTTCGAAACACAAAAGCCACCACATAGGGAGCGACAGGGTGGAGTGACTGCCAGGGAGCTGCGTCCCAGAGCACCCCACTCCTCAGACCTCGTGAATGCCCCCAGGTTGCCCGCTCAGGTGAGACAGCAGGGGACCTGGGGACATGGAGAGGCCAAGGCTCTGTTGTCCCTGCCTGGCTGCTACTGTGGATAGAGCCTCATCCAGGGGTCCACACACCACCCACTCCACCTAGCACAGGCCCGAGTGGTCTCTAAGTAAGACCTGGGGCCTGAAGTTCAGGCATCACAAGGGGAACAGGTCCTCAGAATCTATCAACACTTCAGGCCCCGGATATGAATGCAGCATATTTTGCAAATCTCAGCCTGTATGTGGCCTCCCTGTGTCTCTCGTGGCCTCTGGATTGCCCAGGACACCTACTCAGTGAGATGTTCTATGCGGTGGCGCTGGGACACAAGCACAAGGAAACAGTCTGTTCGGCTCACTACAGAACGTTTTTAGACATGATCCACGGTTGGCTGGAACTGTAGAAACCACAGATGCGGAGGCTGCGGACCCTGCGCAGGCGGCACTGTGTAGACGGCACTGATGGGGGCAGAGCCACGGCCCAGCAGGAGCTGATGGAGCCAGTGGGCTTCCGTCAAGGCTGAGCGCTTGCGGTCTCAGCTGGGAGACTTTCGGGGAGGGAGCCCAAGGCCACTGCAGCCTGTGTAGGTATCTAACACAACGGCTTTCTGGGGCGGGGCTGGAAATAAGCGCAGTTGCTCAGATTGAGAGGTCTCGGCTGCTGTAGAGAGGGTGGAATAGATGTCGCAAGGGTGGGGTGGGTACAAGCACATTCAGAGTCCCTCGGGGACCTGGGCCTCTGGGGACAGCGGAGAGGCAGCCCAGGAGGCCTCTGCAGGGGAGCTGCTGTACTAGGTTGAATCTGCTCCTCCAGATTTCATGCCTCCAACCTGTGGGCCTGACCTTGTGTGGAAACAGCATGCCCAGAGGCAGCCACGCTAAGAGGGGTCCCACGCTGGAAGAGGGGGCAAACCGATCCCAGGTCTGATGACTGGTGTCTCCCAGCAAGAGGGAAATCTGGGCATAGATGGGGAGACTCAGGAGAGAGCAGGCATACGGCGATGGGGGCTAGGCTAGGGCCCCAGGCCCGACCAGTCTGACCAGCTGCGCACCTGCTCCGCTACCCTACCTGTGGCCAGCAGTTCACCCGCCCTTCCCCACTGCTGACTTCTTACCTGGCTGAAGGAAGGACCCCGCAGCCGCGTGGAGTCCAGGCTGCCAGCCCCAAAAGCTGTGTGCAGCTGCGTGTGTTCACCAGGCATGCACTGTAGCACATGCACTTTGTGGTGACTGTGTGTGCACTCGTACATGTACACCAGATGAGGTGTGTGTGCAGGTGTGCGCATGTGCGTGCACCCCTGTTTGAGTGTGCATGTGCACAGGGTCTGACCTTGCATGTGTGTCCCATGTGCAAGTGGATGGCCCCCCCTTTCCCCCCCACCGTCCCTGGGAGATGGCAGCTTCCCTGGCAGTAAAGGGCGCTCGCATCAGCGCTGCCTGCTCCAGAGTGATTAAGGACCGGGAGCCACGGAAGGAGGGCGGGACCGGACGCCCTCTGCGGGACGCGAGCCTGCGCTTCCTGCGGGGGCCGAGAGGCGGCCACGCGGCCATCCACGGGCGGGGCGCTTCTGCCCGAAACCCCTCAAGAGAATCGCATCACCGGCGAAGCGCCCCAGAGGGGCCGGCGGGGCCGCCCTCGGGCTCAGGCCCCGGAGCTCCCTAGCAGCCGCAGAGAGGCGAGCTCGCACCCCAGAATGCATGCGCACGCCAGCCGGCTCGCTGGGGAGCGGGTTCAGTGGAGCCCAGACTGAGCACCGTCCCGCCCCGCGAAGCTCCAGAGAAGGTTCTCGAGGTCCACCGCGCCGCCCCAAGTAGCTGCCTGTGTCCCAGACAGGCTCGAAGGATGTAATGGAACACGGGGAAGCCCGCACGTGCAACCCCAGGCTCAGTGTGCACCACTGAGGCGCTGCTCAGCCAGAGGGACGAATTCGGGGTCCCCTGGACAACGCGGCGACCTGACAGGGCCCACCCTGACGGACAGAGGCTGGCCCACACCGGCCATTCCGTGTCAGAAGCCCTGGACAGCGGAAGTTGATTTGCAGTCCAGCGGCTCCCGGGCAGCGTGGCCGAGCTGACTGCAGGGCTCTTCCCAGACTTCCCAGGGGAAGGGATGAGCCTGCTCTCGTTGTCCTGGTTCCGTGTGTCAGCATGAATTGTGCCACCTCCTGACAGGACACGTGATTGCTTTTAAATGGGGCACGGCCACCAGAGACCTGGGATGAAGGCCGACTGTGGCCCAGGAAGCACCCTGGTAAAGCCTGGAGGGCGATAAGGACAGGGGTCCTAGGAGCCTCTTGACCCCGAAGATGCTGCCCGCTGGACACACAGGGAATGAGAAGAGGTCACTGGGACAGGACAGGCAGGGAGACGGGTGTGGGCAGGGCGCTCTGGCCCCGGGGCCCACGGCCGTGTGCAAGGTGCAGAGTGACCAGTGGGCACCGGGCCACCCGCGGGGGTTTCCAGCTGTGTACCGAAGGAGCCGCCTGCTTCCTACGGCTTCTAGTGAAACCTCACAGGAGAAGCAGGCCCGGCAACCCGGAAGGCCGAGGCAGAGGGACAGCCAGTTCCAGTCCAGCATCACAGCTCAGAGACTAGGTGAGACACTGTCTCAAAATGAAACATAGGGCCTTTTTCCTCCCATTCTGGCCTCAGCAAAGCCGTTCCTCCCAGGCTGCTCCAGCCCCAGCCCCACTGTCACCTGTGGGTCTCAGCCCCTCGTCCCTCCTGCGAGTGGCTCCCCTGGGAAGCCATGGGAAGCGTGACGGCCGTGTGGTGGCTGTGTGCGTGTCTCCTGGCCCATCCTCTGGGTCTGTGACTGCTTGGTCAGGTGACGTGACCGGCCCAGGCACCAGCCCGAGGGCCCCAACTGCTTGCTGCTCACCCAACACCTGGTGCGTGGCACCCAGCTGCCATGAGTCTGGGGACCAGTGAATGACAGCTTCTGGAGAAGGTGTGGACATCTGGGGCCGTGGGCGATGGCATGAGAAGACACACGGCAGGGCTCCTGTTAGGCAGGGCCTGTCCCTCAGGCTGGCCTCCCGCCATGCTGTGCTCAGAGCCACAGCCACTGGCTTCCTCTGTGCTTGGCCTGCGGTCACCGAGTGCCTCCACGAGCCATCGAAGGGGGCAGCATGTCATCTACAGCAGCCCCAGCAGGAGCAGGGAAACGAGGTCATGGCAGGAGGGTGTGAGCGCAGGAGGCTGGGGGACAGAGGCCTTGAGAGGGTGGCTGCCCAAGGACCTGCGTCCCTACTCCACTGCACTGCTGCACAATGCAGGGGGCCAGGCCTGGGCAGCTGGAGCCCTCGTCCCCTAGCCTCCTCTCGCTGTGCCCCTGGGGCAGGACCAGCCCAGCCTTGGGGGCTGGAGACCCACATGGACCCTTCTGCACCTCCCACCCTCCAGAACCACGGGGCGGAGGCGGGCGTTACCGTCTTTGGGGAGCACGGCCGCCTGCCTGCTGAGCTCCAGTGCGGCGCTGACATCCATGAACTCCCTCAGGTTCAGGAAGCTGGGGACACGCTGTCTGTCTGGGTGGCGGGATCACAGCAGAGTCGTCCTCCTGGCATCTGGGGGCTGCAGCCCGATCCCACCCCACACCTGCCACTGCCATCCCTGCCCCTGGCCATGTCCAGGTGGGAGGCCCGGGGCCAGGGCTGTTGAGAGCCCTGAAGCTGAAGTTGCTCCTATGTGGGAGGGCAGGAGGAGGCCTCATTGCCTAAGGCAGTCACGCTACCTCAGGCTTGAGAACAACCCGCTGCCTGGACCTTGTGGGCTCTTAGTCGCTAGCACCCTTGTGTCCTGCAACTTCACAAAGATATAAGTAGAGGCCCTTGCTGTTGTTCAGGGGGTTGTTTTGCCAACCAGGCAGACGAGCCTCCACCTGACCCAGCTCTTGTCTTCTTGTCTATCTGTTCCTTGTTCCTGCCGCCATTTGTCCCCAGGTGCAACAGATCACACCAAGAGGCTAACAGAGCCCTACACAGGGTCACTGTGTGGGGTGGACACAGGCTGCTCCACTGGCCTGCTTCCTCTGCGCCCTCCAGGCCTGTGCTTGCCGCTGTGTCCCGAACACGCCCACCTGAGCACAGGGACAGAGACCAGGCCCCGCCACCCTCTCCTCAGGCTGCCCTGGCCATCACACTCCACGCATGGGGCTGGAAGTGGGCTTGGCCACTTCCCCATGCCTCTCTGCCACACAGCCTCCCTCCAGGGAGGACCCCGCCACCCCGTCCTCACAGTCACGTCCCACCGCCACCTCCCAGCCCTCTGTCATCCAGGGCCAGGAACCTGTGCCCCCAGATCCAGCACTACACGGGGCAACCACCATCCAGATGCCCAGTCCACACCACAGTCCCCGGTCCTGGCCTCCAGCCATGCCTGCCTGGACCCCCGGCCCCAACCTGTGGTCTCGACCTCCCTTGTCCCCTCTGGCCCCCATCCTCCCAGGCAGTCACAGAGTGCTGCCCACTGTCTTCTCCTTCCACCCCAGCCCAAGCATGTGCCCCGTGGCATCACGGGCCCTCACCTCTGTGTCCCGGGCCTCCTGCCCCCACCTACCCCATCTGCCACTCCCTGCTGACTCTGGGGCCCCCGCGAGCGTCACTCACGGAAGAGCAGCAGGTTCTTGTAGGTGCGGGCAGCACGCCCCAGGCGGAGGAACACCAGGCCATAGCTGTAGTCAGTGGACAGCACGTGGAAGCCCAGCACACCCTTCACTGCAAGGGAGCCCACATAGCCACTGCGCTGGATCCGGCCTCACACCCCAGCTGACATCAGGCACCTGGAGTCTCTCCAATGGGCTCCCTGGCCAGCCCACCCAGGACAGTGCTGCAGCTGTGGGCCAGAGACAGCCTGACACCCGGCCTTGTGTCCACCCCGCCTGCCACACGCTCCAGTGTGTCCTGTCCAGTCCTGCGCTCCCCACGGGGCCCCACATACGGGTGTTCCTGAACACAGCCTTCTTCTTGTCTCTCTTCAGGGTCACCTCCTGGGACTGGCAGCCCCGAGACCTGGAGAATGACTGCAAGCTGCAGGTGGGGCCCTGCCTGCCCATGGCCACCCAGCCCCACAGCACGTCTCATGCCACTTCTGCCACCCTCGGCCTCTGTGGGGCCTGAGGATGGGGCTACGGATGGGACTGAGGTTGCCAGTTTGGACCTGGAGGCTCTATTCTGGAATGTTCCAATGTGGACAGGGACCTCACCCACAGTGGAAGGAAACAATCCAGGCCCAACTACCCCTGATGCCCCTGGGCAGCTGGTGCCTCTCCCAAACCCATCCTTCAGTGTCAAGGTTGGCAGAGGGAGCGACTTTGTGGGCCCCTACACTGCCTGCCACTCCCCACACAGTCTGCAGAGGCTGTCAGGGGCCACCACTCGTGTCCCCTCACCGGCTAAAGGCGACGACCACTTGCAGCTGGCCTGCCCTGCGCACCTTCACCACGGCCGCCCCCAGCTTCCTCTTGTCACTGGCTGGCAGGAAGCCCTGGGCGTTGGTGGCCACCGCAAGAACGTACCAGAAGCCTGAGAACTGGATGTGGGAGGCCGGTGTCAGAGCCTTCTTGCGGTGTGGCCCCCACGCTCCTGGCTGCAGGGCTCCACACAGGGAGCGCTGCCCCGCAGCTGCCCCACCCGGACCTTCTGCCCAGTGTGTCTCACCCCGCTGTCCTGCTGGCCATGCCTGCCCCACATCTCGGGGCCCTGCTCACCCCAGCTGCAGCTCCCTGGGCCCCTCACGTTGCCCCTCATCAGGTTCTCGGTCCTCTGCCCTGCCTGCAGGTGGGTACAGCCTTGCCCGGCTGCCCATGCCAGGTGCAGGAGAGGCTGAGCTGTGGGCAGCAGCAGGCTAGAGCCCCTGCCCACCTGGCAGGCAGGGTCCTTTCCACTGGGTCCTGCCAGGGCGTGGGCCACCCAGCCTCCCTGGCCCTCCCACTCCTGGCTCTTCCTGCTGCAGACCCAAGGGCTGCCCTGCCCCTCCAGGGCTCCCCCTGGCCTGGCTGAGCCCGTGCCTGCCCCCCCTGCTGGGTGCACTGCCAGCCTCATCCATGGCACCCTGGCCCTTCCCAGTCCTGCGCCTGCACAGGCCACCATGGGCATGCAGCTCACCTTGCCCCAGTTGAGGCTGTGCGACTCCTTGGGGAGCTGTTCCTGTGGCTGGAACCCCGCGGCCAGGGCCAGCAGCAGGGCCAGGGCGGGCAGCAGCCTCATCCTCACCACCCTCAGCCCAGGCCAGGCAGGCGCTGCATTTAAATCTCCCTGTCCCACCCACTGTGGGCACCCTCGGGCCCAGGCACTGAGCCAGGCGGAGTCCACAGGTGGGCAGGACCCAGGAGGCGGCCTCGTGGCCCGGGCTCCGCACCTCTCCCAGCAGAGCTGGCCCAGCATCGGCCTCAGCACAACCATTGCTGGCTGCAGTGGACACGGCCTGTGTGGAGGCCTGAAGACGACCCCACTGTGCTTCTGGAGTGGGGCCCGTGTGTCCCACAGTGCTGTGGGCCTGGGGTCACCCTGTGTCCCATGTGTGCTGTCACAGTCCCCGGGCACCTCCCCTGGCAATGGTACCTGGCCTCCATCTGTCCTAGCCCCCTGGAGAGGGGCAAAGGGCCAGACACCCAGCATTGAAGTCTCTGGTAAGTGTACCTTGGGAGCTGCTGGGCCTGGGCCAGGCTTCAGGGCCACCTTCCTGAGGCCACAGTGCTAAGGGACAGGTGGGGAGGGACGTGTATGCCATGTGCGCCCACATGTCCACATAGATCAGTGGTGCATGTGTGTGCCCAAGTGCGCACCTAGCCTTGCGGATGGGCTTCGGGGTGCACTCACCCGCCTCAGTCAGCATGATGACCCCGCCCACTTCCAGCCCAGCTGTCCCCTTCCTGGGCCCAGGAGAGCCCTCAGGCTCTCACCCTTGGGGCCCCTGCCAGCCCTCCAAGCCAGAAGCACTCCAAGCTCCCGAGCTTGGGCATGGGCTGTGCCCTCCTTCAGGGGCCATGCCAGTCACTGACACTCAGTACAGATTCTGGTTGACACTGGAACTGGCTTCCTGGTCCAGCCCTGGGCCACGGTTGTCCTGACTCTAGGCTCCAGCCCCAACCCCGCCAAGTCAGTCCCCTGCCTGTCCTGGGTCCCTGAGGGAGAAGCAGCTCCATGCCCAGCCCCAAAGGCCCAGGGGACACGGGTGCAGCAAGCTGTCTGCGGCTGGCTGTCCTAGCCTCCAGCAGCGTCCCTGACCCCGGCCATCCCTGCGCTGGCCTCCCAGCTCCTCTGCCCTTTGCCACACACATGGCCAGGCCCAGTTGGGCTGCAGAGAGCGCTTGCTGTGGGGTCTTTTTATTCCAAGTCCAGAGACCCTGCGGGAGCAGCCAGCCCAACCCAGCTCCTTCTGGTACCTTGGCAGCTGAGCTCACTGCCCATTCCAGCTCCTCCTGCAGTGACTAACTGGGTCACTTACGTCCAGCTTGGCCCTCAGCATCCATGGACCGGCCAGGGACCCAGGGCGGGCCCCATGGATGTCTGGGCATGCATGAACGACACAGAGTCCACACTCCGTGAAGAGGCCTCTCACCCTCAGGACAGGGATGGAGGAAGGGCTGGCTCTGGCCCTGCCAGTGAGGACCAGAGGACATTACAAGGCTGGGCTCCCCTAGGGTCCCTGCCAGCCTTGTCCGAGGACGCCTGAGTCCTTGTATGCAGAGGAGCTGTGGACACCACCCTGAGTCCTGCCAATGCAGCTCTGGCTGCAGCCCTGGAGCTCAGGCACTCAGCTCAACGCCGGGCCGTGAGGGGACACAGGCGCTTGGGGTCTGCTAGTGATCAGCAGCCAGGGAGGCCACCGAGTGAACCATCTCCCACCAGTGCCCCAGGTCCCTGGAAGGCCTACTCTGGGGACACAGCTGGCAGGGCCCTGAGAAGCTCCAGCACTCAGGAAGTTGAGGTTGGACTGTCCTGAGTGAGGCCAACTTGGGTGCCATAGTGAGTCTGAGGTCAGCCTGAACTGTACAGAGACCCCGTCTCAAAGAACTGAAGCACTCTGCAGACTAGAGCACCTGCTTAGGCGGAGTGCAGAGGCCAGCCTGCATGCCGCGCCTGCACGCCGTGCCAGCCCCGCCCCGGGGCACCCTGAGACAGCAACTGAGACTGGGCGTGGTGGTGCGTGCCTGTAACCCCAGCTCTTGGGAGGCTGAAAACAGGAGAATCACTGAGTCTGATCTGTGTAATGAGACCCTGTACTAAATACATTAAAAAAAAAATGAACTAAAAGTAAATAAAAATACACATGGAAATAATACTGCTGCAAGAGTGATAGGATTGAGTCAAGGACGGACAGTGCATCTGAAGCGAGGGGATTATGTTGAGGGGGATGAACAGCAGCGTGCTACATGCTGGAATGGTCTAAACGCTCACGTGTGGCTTGCTCACGCCTGTGCTCCGCGGGCTGGGACCCCCTGCCCCTGCAGGCCTTCCAGCTGTGTCCACCCACGCCTGTGAGTCTGGACAATGCTGCCAATGCGGCCGCACTAGTGACACCCTGGGGATGGCTAGCTCCTCATGCACCCTCCCGGGCTTGCATCTGCCTTGGTGGCCACCCCAGCCTGCAATGAGCCCTGGCCCTCTCCCCCAGGGACACTGGTGCCAACGCCACCAGCTCCCCCACTGTGGTCCCCAGTACTACAGGGCCTCCCGTACACACTGCCCATTGGTCAAGGCCAGCCAAGCCCACGTGGCCAGTGTGGCACGTAGCCTCCACCTCACCAACGTGGAGTTCATTCTATGACAGAACTGGGGCCCAGGGGACCACGTGCAGGACCCACCTGTGCTCGCCCCTCAGGAAGAACCCCGAGGGAAGGGCCGCAGCACGGACAGACAGCCCAGCCGACCAAGGACCAGGAAGTGTCGGCCTGGTGCCCCGGGACGCAGAGCCCAGGGCGGGCAGAAGTGTAAGGCACAGGGCAGAGCCAGGGAGAAGGGACGGGCACACAGTCAAGAGTAGAGTCCACGCGGCCGCAGGCTGAGCCGGTGGACAGGGCCGCTGAGGAAGCCCTGCTAGGTGGTGACCGGCACTGCCCGCTCACCCGTGCTGAGAGGACAGCAGTTCCAGCCTGTTCTTGGTGCTGAGTGTCACCACCACACCCTCCACGTTCCTCGTGTCCTTCTCCAGCATGAAGCTCTTCTCTCGGGAGGCCACAGCGAGGACATACCAGGGACCCAGCAGCTGTGTGGACGTTGGCAGCGCAGAGATCCCGGCTGTCCTCCCTAGGGCATCCTCGCTGTTGGGGAGTCCCCTCCCCCATGCAGCCCCCCACCCCCAACACTGGCCTGGTCTGGCCCTGGGGAATCAGGCTGCGTGGCCTCCCAGGAGGGGAGTGGCACCCCAGGGCTGCCCTGCTGTCCGGAGGGGTCACCTGCTTGGGATCCAGTCTCCCCAGCCACACCGCCTGGGCCCTGGGCATGGTCACCAAAGCCAGGAGAGCGGTCAGCTGAGCCACCCCCATCCTGCCCAGGACCACACACCACCTCTCAGAAAGGATCTGCCTGCTCCAGCCAGGAACCATTTTTATGGCTCTGTCCGTCACCATGTGGGCAGCCAGCCCCTAACCAGTGATGGTGGCCTAGCTGCTCTTCTTGCAAAGTGGTGAAATGACCCAAGGGCACTCATTCCACATTGGTGGCCGTGCCAGCTCCGACCCACAGCAGAGCCTCTGCCAGGTAGCCATGCAGACTTATCCGTTTTCCTCTGCACTCCCCCAGTCCAAGTGCCCAGACGGGCATCCTCCACCGGCCGCTACAGCCCCTCCCAAGCTGGCACTGCCCTAGATGACCCTTGGAAGCCTGGGCACACACAGCTCTGCAGGGTGAAGCAGGGTGGCGAGGCCAAGCCCACAGCCAGAGGCAGTGGTCAGGACCAAGGGTCCTTCCAGAAACCACAGTCTGGATCCATTCCAGTCACTGAACCCAAACCCATCCCACACGTCTGACTCCCACACAGTGCTCTCTGCCTGCTGAGACCCCACAGCTGGTCCCCTGGCCAGATCATCCTGTTCCTACTACACCCACCCACCCACTCGCTAGCTAACTCCAGTCTTGTAGCCCCAGGTCTCCCGAGCCTTGGCCCGTCCCCAGGGTCAGGAGCTGTCTGCAGCCTGCAATGCTGAATGCCAGGTCATAAGAGCCCCCGTTGGGGAGCCATGTGCATCTGAGCCTGCAAAGTGAGGGGAAGGGGGCTGGGCCTTGCTCATCCACACTCGGCTGTCAGCAGGGACCCGCTGAGCATGCTAGGGGTTGGGGTCTGGCCCACGGGAGTGGCATGAGCCTTTCCTTTACCACTTGGGCTGTTCTGCTCATGACCTGAGCCAGCTTCCTGCAGGGCATCCCTGCCCCGCAGCTGTCACAGCAAGGGAGGACACAGGAGGCAGCAGGCACCTGTCTTTCCTCAGTGCCCCACTGCCCAGCTGTACTGCAAGAGGCAAAGGCCACACCGCTGCTCCCAGCCTGACCCGCAGGCCCACAAGGTTCAGGGTAGCTCAGGGCAGCTGGCACCCTGCTCCCCCCTTCACACACCAACACCCACCCAAGGATACACACACCACAGAGCCCCACATCATGGAGAACACTGTCAACGTGAAGCCTCAAGGTTTAAGTAACCCTGCAGTTGTGCATCCCAGTAAAAGAGAACTAAGTGACTCCGAGGCGGCCAGGGTCCTTACTCTGCAAGTACAGAGCTCGTGGACGGGAAAGGCCCAGACATGGTATGGGCAGACAGCGGCACAGGGTGGGAGGGGGAAAGGCAGCTTGCCTTTCCCGTCGCTCTTGCCCAGGATCCTCTGCTGCCCTTGCCACACCCACCCTGCTTTAGAGTCAGCTAATTACAGCCTTGGGTGTCCGCTATTTTATCTCAGCAAAGGGAAAAATATAACTAAGAACACCACACTGAAGAACTGGGAGCTCAAGCCATGGCGTACCCAAATCCAGCTTTTAATTCTGCCGCAGTTCCGTCATCCCTTCTGCCCCGCTGGACCCTGCACAGCAGGCAGCTGACTGGGGGCTCCTGCTGCTCAGCCCCCACAGGGCTGCAGGAGCACAACAAGGGCATCTTGGCTGAAAAGAAAAACACCAGGCATCTGGACCTTCCAAACAAAGCTGAGGTGTGGTGACAGAAGGGAGAACTTCCGAGGAGGTATTCTGAAGGGACTTCTGAGGGCGCAGGCAGTACTGGGGACAGAAGGCAGGGGCCTGCGCTCGTTAGAAAGCGTTCTCCATGCCAGCCCTAACAAAGGGCGTCTCAGGTGCCAGGAAGACATTTTCCAGCGATTGGGGTGCCAGGTTCACATCCCAACTGCAGCCAGGGAGTTTGCATCGCGTATGACACTGACAAGCCCAGGGTGCTCAGTCCTAGGCCGGCCAGACCCGAGGAAGGCTGCTGGCCTGGTAGAGAAGTCCCAGATGCCTTATGGACGGAAAACACTAATGGGGCCTAGACTGCGCAGTGGCCGGGCAGGCCCGGCTCTCTCGTGCAAGAGCAGGGGATGGCTGTCACAGGGCAGCTCACGACTACTGAGGAAGGGGCGCCGGCTCTCCTGTGGCCCGCCCTGGGTCCTGCAGCCGAAGCAGGGCCTCCATCTGCCTGCGCTTCTCCTTGGCCCGGGTGATGGTGACCTGGAAGAGCCTGCAGAAGAGCTGGACGGACGAGGGCGAGTCATCGTTGCCAGGGATGGGGTAGGTGATGAGGCAGGGGTTGCAGTTGGTGTCCACGATGCCGACCGTGGGGATGTTCATCTTGGCCGCATCTCTGACAGCCACATGGGGCTCAAAGACGTTGTTGAGCGTGTGCAGGAAGATGATCAGGTCCGGCAGGCGGACTGTGGAGCCGAAGAGCAGGGGCGCGTTGGTCAGCAGGCCACCCTTGAAGTAGCGAGTGTGGGCGTACTCGCCACAGTCTCGGGCCACGTTCTCGATCAGGTGTGAGAACTGTCGGTTGCGGCTCACAAAGAGGATGATGCCCTTGCGGTAGGCCACATGTGCAGTGAAATTCAAGGCCAGCTGGAGGTGCGAGGCAGTCTGCTCAAGGTCGATGATGTCCTGGTCCAGGCGACTCCCGAAGATGTACGGTTCCATGAACCTACCAGAGACCCGTGAAGAACACAGCAGGTCCATGAGGCCCACTCCAGGGGCCCACGAACCTCCCATCCCACCTCTTCCGGTGGGGATCTGAACAGGATTGACCCCACTGGATGTCTGAAGCGTACACAGAACACAAGGCACACAGCCCAGCACACCCTTTCAGCAGCCACCTTGGTCAGGCTCCTGGGTAACTTCCCCACCAGGCAGCCAAGTCGCACCACGCGCAAGCACACAAGGTCCCTGGATCAGACTGTACTTTGCACCAATGGCTCCATCATGCTCCCGGCAGTTGCTGATGCGTAGCCTCGACCCACACATCCCATCTAGCCCCTCCCACTCGGCCCCTGCTGCTCCAGAGCTTCTGTGGCCCCATCACCTGCCCCGGCCCACACCCACCTCCTGCGCTAGTCTCCTGGCGACCCACCCCGCTAGCCCACTCTCCACGCAGGAACCCATCTCTCACGCAGCCCATTCTCACTGCTAGGAAAGCTCTGGTCCAGCACTGCTCAGCCCTCCGCCCAGCAGGCCCCGCAGGACACAGCAAGGGGCAGCTTCACAGATCATCCTCTCTGGTCCACAGTCTCCCCATCTGGGGAGCCCCTGGCAGTGCGACAAGCTGCAAGCCCCCGGCCTGACTGCTCAGGACAACTGACTGCCCCTCCTGACACAGCAGTCCTAACAGGCCTTCAGACCAAGGCAGAGGCCCCTCCCCTGGGAGCCACCACTGGGACACATCAGGGCAAGGGCCATGGTTACCTGTGCCGACAGCCGGCTTTATGTCCCAGGTGCACTCGGGCATCGAAGAGGCTTTTTACAGAAAACAACTCCTTGACCTTGAAAAAGTCGGCGTGCCGGAGAGGCTCGTCCAGAAGCTTCCTTTGAAAATCTGGGGGCATCAGGAGGACAGAGTGCTGTGATCTGCTACCACATGCCCACCCCGCGACCAAGCGTCTCCCACCACAGAGCCGGGGAGGGCAGAACTTCAGAGCGGGGGATGCCCAACTCCCCAGGAACGACACGCAAGCCACAGCCAACAGGGCTGGAGCCCACTTCTGATAGGGGCTCTGCTCCTGGGGAAACCGGGTCGGTCCCTGGCCCCGGGGCCGTGGGAAAGCAAGGGAGGAGGGACAGGGCTCTAGCGGGCCCTGGTCTGGTCCTCACGGCCACGGGCGCGGCGCACCTCTGAGCGGTCGTCGGAGGGCTCGGCGCCCCGAGGGCCAGCGCCAGGCCTGCGGGCCCGACGGCGCGTGCCCCCACCCGAGCCGGGGAGCCGGGCGG